TGGAGATTGGCTGTTGGCCTTTGGAGCACCCAGAATATTGGGCAGGCCCATGAGTTTGGATTGTATCTGCTAGGCAATAGAGGGTTTGAGTCATGGCATAGATGATGAGATTGCATTTAAAGAAGATAATGTTTGGCAGAGAAAGTAGACATAAGGAAAGACAATTTAAAAGCCATTATGGTATTTTGATAAGCTCACAAAGGGTGGTGGCCTGCACAGGAGAAAGCAAAGATGCAAAGAATGACCAGGGCGTCTAGGTAGGAACATAATAGACATAACTCCAAGTGTTCTATTTTGAGTGTTTTAAAAGAGTATTTCCTTAATGGAGAGAGGGAACAGAACAGTAAGAAATATAAAGGTAGTAACGGTAATAAAGTGTAACTGAGGCCTCTGGGCATGTTAAGATTGAGGTGGCAGGAAGATATTTGGGGAGATTCTGGGTGCTCTGAAATAAAACTTGGTGCTTGGAAAAAGGGATCACATCAACAGCCGTAAATTTGGAAGTCAGTACAGCTGAGGCATTACACTGAGGAAGTATACATACAAAGGGATAAAAGGAAAAAACTTTAATTACTGTAGCAAGCTAGCAGAAAAATGGAGTAAATGGAGAAAATCAAAATAATTATAAACCCGGTAAGAGAAGAGCTTGGGAAAAATCTTATTTACAGGCCAGAAAAAAAGGTTTTCAAGTGTTTCAAATAGTATTAGTTAACTGTGCTATCAATTTATCGCTAATCTGAATCCCACTAAGGTGAGTTGTAAAAGATACTTCTTTGTATGTTTTACAGTTAGTATCACAAAAGTTAAGCAAATGAAGCCTTCCAAGGAGAGAGAAAGTAGTGTTGGGCAGTTTTTAAATATTTATTTCTGGAGGATTTGTTTGGCTATTTTCTGTTTAAGAAGTTAAGTCAAGAGTGAATCTATCCTCTGATCACCCCATCAGTATTTCCCAAATTGTAAAACCTGTGCCCCTCTATAGCACAGGGGACAATTTTGGATTTCTTGTAGGTGTTAAGTAGAATTGAATCATGTAGAAAAGTTGTAGAAAAGTTGTACTCTTTTTGTTTCTCTTTTAGTCCTCTGATTTACGTTAAGTGAAAATTCTCAGTAGGTGCCAGCAGGTGTTCATAGTACCCACCAGCCTCCTTTCTCAACAAGCTGCTCCAGGTCCTGAGGTTTTCAACTAGAACTAAATATCAGGTTAATTTTAAAATCACTGTGTACAAGACAGTTGTAGAGGAATATACTTGTAATCCCAGCACTCAGGGCGGCCGAGGCAAGAGAATTGCAATTTCAAACCTACCCTTAGTGACTTAGTGAAACCTCGACTCAAAAGAAAGGGCTGGGGCCATAACTTATTACTGAGCGTAATCCCCAGTGCTGAAAAGAAAAATTATTGTGTACAATTGTTTCTTACTTGGAGATACTAGTGTTTTAATTATGGTAGCAATGTAAAGACTTTTTAAAAAAAATAAAGTCTTTTAAAATGTTACTTGGTTAAAGATCGCGCACTTGCTCAGGTGCTGTGCAGCTATGCTGACACTGAGAAAGCCAGAGGGCGGCGAGGAAGGTTGAGAAAAGTTACGTTTCCCAGAGCCTGAGCCTCCTGCTGTTGCTTCGTGACTGCTGTAGCTCAACTGGCCTGCGACAGCCTATGACACTGGTCCTGGGCTCTGACCTGAAGGACTTGGGTTCCAGATTCTCAGATCTAACTCCTCGTCATTCTCCTAAAATGCTGGGACACTTTTTCAAGCCACTAGACTTTTCTGGACTTCCCTGTTCTTAGCCGTTAAAATGAAGGACTTAGTTGTACGTGATCACTCACATCGCTTCCAGCAGTAACTATATGATTCTCTGAGTTACTAGTAAATAAGCCTATGCATTCCAATGACAGAAGTCAGTGGGAACGTTTTTCCCTCTGTAAGTCGTCAATATCGTATGTCAATGCTACAGACTGTTCCCAGAATGACATCCAGTGTGGGGGGAAATATTAACCAATTCATTCTCTTGCGATGACTCAGATTCTGACTTCATTTGCGAAGGGAGGCGTTTCAAGAAGGAATATCTGCTTTAGTTAGGGCAATTGATTAAAATTGAAAATGAAATTGTAAATGAAAACTTGCATGTATTTCCTGAGCACTGTGCATTATGCTAGAATTTCTCTCTCATTAGTACTTTCATTGTGGTCATATCTCATCAATTTATAAAGCCCATAAATTTTGTCCTTTAGTGTTGCAGCTCATAAGCAGTAAGTTTTTTGATTTAAAAGTTTTTCATCTGTTTACTTACTAATACCTTCCCATCTTTTAAAATTTGTTCCCTCAAAAGAAAAGGGAGGGTAAGGGCAATGTTTGTGAATGACTGAAAGTTCTGTTAATTATCATTGGGAATGGATGTTACTCTACATCTTAAGTAATTCTTGAAAATAAAACCATGGCACTTATTTGATATATAACAACATGGCAGTTTTCACCTTCAAAAACACAGCAAAGGACCAGGCAGTAAATAAAAGATGGAGATGACAAGGGAATGGAAAAAAATACATAGTCTTTGGATTTGAAAAATTTTAGTTTATTTCTACTAGCTTTAAAATGTTTCCCCATAAACACTTTTTCTCCATGAATAAGAGAAGGAGGATTTGTCTCTTTTTTTTCTACTTTCTCTTTCTCCCCCCCATCCCCTCCTCATCTTCCTTCTTCTTTTTAAACCAAGTGCTTTGTGCATACTAAACATATGCTGCACCACAGAGTCACACCCCAGCCCTCTCTCCATTTATAGGGTTATTTTACAGATGATAAGGGAAGTATTATATAAGCAACTTAACCATTTTCAAAGTCTGCTTCCACATTTGAAAAAAAGGATTATAAACACCATTGAGCTGGATGGCATAGTACACATCTGTAATCCCAGCTGTGGAAGGAGGTTAGCCCTGTAAGATTAGCCCTGGGTACTTGACAAGACCATATCTCAAAAAAATTAATGAAAAAGAATGGAGGTATAGTTCAGTGCTGAAGTGCCCCTGTGTTCAATCCTCGGGGTCAAAGGGGAAACGACAGATAATGTGCTGTTCTGATCCAATTCGTGTTTTATGTAAAACTTAAAATCTGCAGCATTGGTAGGTACTGCAAAGGTCCTGAAGAAGAGTTAGTTACCAGCCTTGAGCTAACACCATCTGAAGAGTTGAGATTAACATGCACTTAATTTTGAAGATCATCTTTAATTGCAGTTCAGAACCTCTTTGCTCTCCTATTCTCTACACAATATTAAATTTAATTTCCTGATTTCTGTGATTACAAACACAGATTAGAAGGTACAAAAAACACCAAGAGGAGAAAGACAAAGGAGCAGAATAAGATAAAAATAATTTTCAAATTACAGCTATTTGAGGCATTTAGAGCATGAAAACAACCCTTGATACCTCAGTCATCACTTAGAGCTTTTCTGTGTTACAGCAAGACATAATACAGGGTATTCCAAATGATGATCCTGATTTACTGAGGTTAAGTTAAATTATATATATTTTGCATATTTTACAAAGCATACAGTACTTACATGGAGAAAAACCAAGTTTAAAGACAACATTATGTGAGCTTTTATGAGTAAACCCTTAGCTATCCAAGGCATTCAGTCAGCCCTGGAAACTGACTGGGTCTCAGGGGGTTCCACCTAATCGTGGTCTTCCCAAAGCATCTTCATTAAATAAGCTCAGCCTTTTATGTTCTGTGAAACAGATGAAGATATTTCTGGTTTCTAAATTAAGGTGATTTTTATCCAGATGCCTTTGGTTTGTTTCAAGTAGGAGCATTCGAAAAAATTACGTGTGGACTTAAATTACAGCAACTTTATCACATTCTTTTACCCAGGACCTGGCTTGAGGGCAGGTCAGGTGGCTGTGGGGACTACATCAGTCTTTTCAAAGTGTCACCTGTGATTCTTTGGGTAAAACACTTGCAGTGAGCCTGTTCTGCACATTAAAATGAAAGTCTTTTCTCAGTTATCCCCATGAGAGCAGTAGAAGCATAAATTCGTGTAAACTCATTACAGACTGTATACAGGATCCAGCGTGTAGGTCTTAGTAACACAAATGATGAGCTAAGTGCATTTGAAAGGAACCAAAGCGGGCAATGTCTGACATCATAGAGAAGGAACATGGAGAATCCAGCCTCTCAGAGGTCAACCAGTCAAATACCAGGGCTGGATTTTTCAAAGAACCAGATAATGCCCGTTTTATGGCCATTAATAACATTTTAGTTATGTAAACAGAGATAACAGTAATAAAAAATAAATTCTGTCTCACAGTGTCATCTGATTGCCAACAGAGTTCAGAAACAAATTTTCCCATCATGCATGTGGCTGTGCGTAATGGGCCAGTGACCACTCTGCAGCCCCCTCCCAGCCTTCCGCCTCCCTTTTATGGAGAGTCCTTAGTGATGCCAGATCTATAAGCTATTCCAGGGAGGCACAGTCTTTGTTTTCCCCTTTAAAGTTCTTTGAGCCTCTGGTAGTTAATGTACCAAATGGTCGTTGGGGGCATTTCATCCATGTGCTCTGCTGCTAATCAGAGTGCCTGGACCTACTGTTTTTCTGCCTCTGTGTTTCCCACATGTTTCGGGGCTCAGTTCAAACGCCAGGCCCATCAGCTGCAGGAGAGGCATGGTAGAGTTCAGCTCTGATTTGGGTGTCTGCTTCAAACAGAGATTTTCCAAAGGATATCCTGTAGTAGATAGTCATTTGATTAGTCCAGGTTCCCTTTGCAAACCAGGAAGCACAGTGGCCTAGTCTGTAGGAGAGCTCAGATAATGTTGTTATGATTGCATTTAGAGTGCTTGTAAATATTGTTGCCAGTATCTTTTATACAGGTTCTACCAAGATTGTGTTCAAACAGGCACAGGTTAATGATGTACGTTAAAGCTTTGTTTATGGTGAGCTGATAGGCAAGTTGTGAAGTAAGTCTTTTACATATTGCAATGACCATTTTTCCTCGACAATGTCTCCTCCAGTTGATTACTCCTCACGCCATCCGTGTGCAGACGCCTCCTCGGCACATCCCTGGTGTTGTGGAAGTTACTTTGTCCTACAAATCTAAGCAGTTCTGCAAAGGAACCCCAGGCAGATTCATTTATACAGGTAAGCACCACTGCAGGCAGTGAATACACTGCTGCCTGGGCCCTTCAGGGCCTTAGTTTACCTTGTATGTGTGTATACTTTTTGAGACATTCATTTCTGTTAAGATGTACTTTATTTCCCTTTGACCCACTGAGTTGGTTTATTATTATTAATTCATCTAGTCTTCCATATTGAATGGCAGGCTCTGTTGAAATAATTGGTTGGACACCTAAAAAAGTAGCAGAAAAAGTAAGAGAAGAAGAAGGAGGTACTAGACAGTCATGTGTCTCTCTGTATATTAAGCCAGCTTTTTGAAGTTTGTTTGCTTTACAGCATAGAGGTGTACTTTAATGGACAGTCCACTTTAGTACACTAATTCTGGCCTGCACATGGCATTTGTATTAAACACAGTGGTGATTTTATATTTGATTCTGGGTTGGTGCTTTCTTTCTCAGTAAATTGCATTTCGTTCTCTGAAAATGGCCTTGGCACATGGACCCGCCTTGTGGTAGGAAGCTAGGGTTACAGGGTGACTGTGAGTTCCCTACCATCCAGGCAGGATCTGGAAAGGCAGGATGTGGGAACATGCCCAGTGCATAGTCTGAGTGCCCCCAGATTGTAGTCTGCAGACCAAACACTCAGGATTATTTTTTCCAAGTTAGATTCTTTTGTAGTATTTTTAGGTAGAACCTGAGATTCTTTATCCTTAAATACTGAAAGGCAAAGGCAAGGCTTATGGTGCTGGTCGGAGGATCACATGTCGAGTGCTGAATCTTTGTCATCTCTGGCTAGCTGTCACTGTTAACTGGTTCCAGAACTCCTCTACCTGGTAAAAGATGATAAAGCCAGATAAGGACAGAGGGGAAGTTGATTTCACAGAAAGAAATCAAGAGCAGTGAAAGGATTACTCTGTTCACACATTCTAATTATAACCGAACAATTAAATGGACAAATGTTATTTTGCTGTGACATTCTACCTGAAAGCATCTTTCCCTTGTATTTTAATGCTAGGAACAAAACTGAACATCGTTGTTAGTTGCTGTCTGTCTCTGTCTCTCTCTCTTTGTCTTTCTCAAAATTATAAAAACAATGATTGCATCCTGACCCTTGGAAATGCCTCCCAGCCCTTTAAACAAAATGCAGGTTTGGTGCCTGCCTGACGATTAGTTTTAGTTAATTGAAAATTATAGGATTGACCCAAGAGGAAAATTTTGTTTGCACTCCAATCACTTTTACAAATTAAGGAAAATTACCACAATTTTGTTTAGCTAAGGTTTCACACTGAGTTCAAGAAATTAGCTCAGCCATCCCAACAAAGTCAGCACTTTGTTAGTGAGCACTTGAAAAAATAATAGTCTATCTGGAGTTTTGTGGTGTACACAAACGAAGCATAGAGAAAGCTATGATGCTTTATAGAAGTAGGCCAAGTGTTTTTAATTAGGCTCATTGGTTCAGTGTAAGTTTTGAAGAACAATCAAACTAGCAGATTAGCTGTTTCTTTTAAGGCTAGGATTTCTTGCCATTCATTTTTCCCATGAGAACTTCCACATAGCACTATTTTTTTTTTTTTACAAGCCTCATTATGGGCTTGCAGGAAAAGGACCAATTGAAATTTCTGATACTGTAACATTCCCCACCATCATTCCAATGGATGGGAGTTTTTCACAATGTTCCTCACTGAACTCGGTGTTCTGGAACATATTACAAAACCACAGAGGCCAAATGTTTTCTCTGAGGAGTTTGGACTCTGTTTTTGGCCGAAAACATTTAGGCCTCGCTGGCTGCTTATTTACTCTGCTATTAAGAACAAGAAAAGGAGAAGAAAAAGAAGAGAACGCTTGTGTGGTGGGAGGTACAAGAGGCAATCAGCCATGGTTTCCGCTTTGGTGACAATGTCCCTACCCATTCATGGTTCCATTTTGTGGTCAGGTCTCATTTAGAAGAAATTATTTTTAATCAGTGTTCAACAAAATATCCCCTAGAGCCACCTGGCCATAAAAGTCTTAAAAAAAAAACCCTCCATCCCCATTAAATTACTTAAGTTCTCAAAAGAAAATAGCTAGGGACCCATCATTATTTTGAGTTTTTTTTTAACCATTAAAAAAATTGCCATCAATTTAAGAAATCACATCTTGGAAAATCTGTTTCATACTGGAATTAAGATCAAAGATAAAAGTGGTAGATTTGCAAATCTAGGAAAGTAGTTAAGGAGCAGAAAGATAAGTAGACATCAGGGTACATGTGTAGGAGATTTAGAGAAGGGGAAACCGCTCTTGGTCATCCTGCCTCACACTGTGGGCAGCAGGAAAAGAGGCTTAAAAAGTGGGGGTGGGGGGGATGAGAGCTAGGGAATGCAGGGTATCTTTTCTCTGTAATGTAATGGAAAAATAAAAATTTGAAGATACTGTCGTGAAAAGCTCCTTGCTGCTGGAGTTGGCTGTTAACAGTCACTCTGATATCATATTTCCCCCAAAAAGGAGCATCTATGTTAATTGCTGAAACTGCACATGCGCCTTATAATAATTAATATTGAAGGTATTTGCGAAGGACCCCTTTTCCATGGCTGGGGCTACTGTCTCCTGAAGTTGCTCAGTTTACCTCTTTTTGTCACCACTTTCTAGTGAAGTAAAATCTCTTTGTTCTTGAATACAAACAACTACTCAGATCACAGAATATGTACTGTATCCCTCCTTGGTCCACCCACAGAAATTTACACTGTTTCTCTTAAATATCCATAGTGTTTCAAGATGTGATGTTTACTCTTCTGGATTAGGTGAGCTAATGCTCTTGATTCTTAGTGGAATCCCACTTGGAATTTTTCCTTAAAAAAATATGGAACTGAAAACGAACCAGAAATTAAGGCACTGTGACTGCTTTCAGAATGTGCGGGAGTGTTTGGGTGTGCGGCTGTGGAAAGCTCTAAAGGTTTATATAGTCATTGGTTTGTAATTATTAAAGCACTGAGAGAAGGAAGGGGAGGAGAGAGGGAGAGGATAACTAAGAACATGCTCTGGAGAGTAAGAGCCAGAGTGAGCAGCAGGGCGCCTGGCTGGGCTCATCTCCTCTATGCAAATACACACAGACTTTTTGGGGGAGGGAGGAAAGATTCTGACTAAGCAGACTCCCTGAAAGCTGGCTCCACTTGTGTGAGGATCCTAAGTGCTGCTCACATAAAGAATTCTCAGCCACCAGATCAGAGGAAGGAATTCAATTCACTTAGTATAAAAGAAAGCTTGGTAGCACTTTGCAGGTCTTAAGTGTTCAATTATCCTTCTGTAGATGCAGAGCAAGACTGACCTTACATTTTAAATAATGATTCCAAATGAAGGAACTAAAACCCTTCCTAATCACAAGCTTCTCTCGAAAGCCCTGGGATCATGTGTTCCATCCCTCAGTCTGGTAGGAACCTGCACTGCCATCGGGGGTCTCCCTCATGCTGTTATTCTCATGGTTGCTTCCTTGAAGTCAGTAAATCTTTAAGTGAAATTGGATCTTTTAAAGTCATGATCGCTCTTGCTAAGCCCCGAGTGTCTTTGGATCTGTAAAAAGATTTTTAGGAGATGTCTTCATAGTTCTTAGATTTGGTTTTCCTGATAAGAATTAGCCAAATCCAAGTGCAGGTTTTGGCCTGATTCTAGTGACTCTCAGAGAAGCCTCTCTCTAGGGACAATATGAGGGAAAAATGGGCTGTAGGATGGTGTTTGAGCCACGCAGTTGTGCCTGGAGAGCTGCATTCTACTTGCTCCCCCAAAAGTTGGCAAGAGGCAATTACAAAGAAAAAAGAAAACAGTATGAGTACAGCAGCATGAACAAGATTTTTATAAATGTGAACATAACACTTTCTTTATATGCTACTCTGTTTTCTGTTACTAAGGCAAAATACCTGAGGCTTAGTCCTTATAAAGAAAAGAGGTTTATTCAACTAACGCTTTTGTGGCTCTCATCTGTTCGGCTTCTGGTGAGGGCTCCTCGGGCTGCCTCACACTATGGCACATGGTAAGATGGCAGGAGGCTGGGCAAGAGGGATCCCATGATAAGATAGCCAGAGGGATTCGGGGTCATGCTTACTCTTTTTGTAACAATCTACTCTCATGGGAACTAATCAAATTGGGGTCCTTCAGAGCCACACTAATCCCTTCCAAAGGCTGTGCCTTCAGTGGCCTAATTACTTTCCACTAGGCTTCCCTCTTTCCCTCTCCTGGCACCAAGCTTCCAGTCCCTGAACCCTGGAGGACAATGACATTAGAACCTTAGGAAGGTTTCAGGAAGTGTTTGCTCAGAGTGGCCTCAAACAATACCTATTCTAGTGAGGCAGCCCTAAAGTGAAAAGCTCTCCAGAATGTTACATTCCCCTCCCTTACTTCCCATCTCAAACTCCTGACACTTCTGCAGGCCACAGCACACCAACTTCCTCTCAGATGTTCAGGTTGCAATCAGCTACAAGTCCAGGTTCAAAAGGTTTCAGGCCAGAAAGTGCTGTTTTTAGTTCTTAGAAACTTCCTGCACAAAATGAAACCTTCCACCGGAGTATGAACAGAGTCTTCAGTTTTAAGGCAGAAATGAATTAGAACTTAATGAATCTCCCATTCTTTTGGTATTTTTCGTACTCTAGTTCATTGCCATGTTAAGTTACTGAGAAGTTACTTTCTTATCCTGCAGAGAAACCTTCCCTGTTTGCTTACTGTATGTAACGTGTAGCCCAAACTCTTCTGCTTGGCATTCTCAACTTACTCTGCTCCAGGCTGAGTGTTTTCTCAGCTCCATTGAAACCAGTCTCCTTGCTGAGGCTCCAGATCACTTCCTAATCAGTTACTGTGATCACAGCAATTCCCATTTGCACCAGGGTTTTCAAGACCTACTTTCTGTTCAAACTGTTTCCTCTGAGTGTTCTTTGGGTAATGAAGTAAAATGGACAGAGAACAGGACTAAGAGGAGGGGGGTCTGTGTTCTAGCCCCCGTTCTGCCCTTTACTGGCCATGAGACCTAAGACTAGTTGCTATGTCCTCCAGACTCCAGTTTCA